CATCAAGATACACGTAGGTACCGCATTCGCCGTAATACCCTCTCGCATAAATATATCTGCATCGTAGCTTTTGCATTCCTCTACGGGGTGGCGTCGAACCAAACAACGAACCTCGATTTTAGGGGGCAAAAACGCGAACAGAGTCCGAAGAAAAATGAAACACGCTTTAACTCTTCGCACTCGAGATGCTATTTTTTTTTTATCGAAGCTTTCAAATCTCAAGAGAGAGATTTATTTGATTTACATGTTGCTGGCAATATGTATGTAAAACTAGAATTTTGCTCGAGATGCTTTCTTAGCATCGTATTGCCACGAATGCTAAGCTTAGATTGACTTCGAAGATTTTGAATATGTTCTTACGTGGTAAATCTTGATCAATTGTAGAATCACTATCGGTGTTTATCACTTGCTCCCATTTATCAGACAAATTAAAATTCCTATCTTTCAGGCGGTACCTCGAAAGTATGATTATTTGTTATCACTAAGCAACGAAATTTATTTTCGAATCAATCTAATATTTCGCCGTTAAACGGACACAGATACTCGTTTAAAAAACTATTTAATGGAACGAGTGTATAACGGGGAGATATTCCACACGGAGGCTTCTATATTTTGTTTCTCGCCGTGGTTGAGAAGCAAAGTGGATTCCTTAACAAGCCGAGGAAGAAGTTGAAGAACAGAAACGAACTCCCATGCAGAACAATTTCGATTACGCGAGTCATAGGCAATAAACTTGCATCGACTCTTCCTAATCGTTTGAGCTTGGCCAGTGATTACTCTGCGAGTACTTTATAATTACTTTTGCAATCATCCTTCGCTGTTGCCAGATTAATTAACGACCGCAAGCCACATTTGCAGCCAGCAATCGCGAATTTGCAATTTATAAGCTTTCAGAGGTAATCGCGTCTGGGTATTCGTTAACGATTAATAGCGATTACCGAGAGCCGAGAACGATTTACGAATGCTTTCTCGTCACCGGGTATATAGGTCTTGTGTGCACAGGAGAAAGCTGAAGCGCTGGAACGGTCGATCTAGCGAGCTAAACGTACTTTATGCACCGTGCCCTCGTTCCATCGTTTTATCCGAACAATTAGACACGTGAACCGCGGTTACGAGGCGTGTAAAAAAGAGTCGCTGCCCTCCGAGATAGAGATCGGGTTTGTTGTCGAGATCAAAAGGAGTAGATGGAATGAAAACGTCACGTTCGACGTGAGATCGCGCAATGTGATTTATCTTCTCATAGAAAAATTAAGATCGAGCTGCAGCCTCGCGTTGGTAAAAATGTCGTCGCCTTATTCATATTTAAAATTCCTTTTGCGCGATAGAATGTTACATTGGTAATAGGATTAGATCGACATCTTGCTCTTCGAGTAGCGCGCGAGATGTCTTACCTCAAAGCAAGTACATTAATCTATCGCACGCGTGTATAGAAGAAGTCAGAAGAGCTACTGTCCTCGGTCCAAATATGTAGATATCCTTGTAAAGGCAATGTTGTTTTGTAACACGAGTTGTACGAAAGACTTTCGTCGACTTTGACGAAGTCTTAGATGACAGTGTTGGTAAAAATTTTATTCAATTTACAATCGCGCCGTTCGTTTCACAAATCGATTAACTCCATAAAACAAAAAGTTGAGAAATGCGACAAAATACTGTACTTTGTTTTTTTAAAATTCCCTCTATAATACAAATTCGAATAAACATCGTCGACTGCATAAATACAGATGTAGCTTTCATCTAACGGTGTATAAAATGAATAAGAAAGAACAGCTAACGAATAATCGTCCGTAATGTTACAAATGTTACAACTGAAAATTGACTTTTTTCAGAATTAAACATACATGTTCGAATATAGCAAACAAAAATGCATTTAAAATTGGTCCCCCAAGAGGCAATTAGTCTAACAAATTATTCCGCTGTTCCCCGGTTCCCCTAACCTTGACGTTTTCGAGTGAAACGCGGGTTCTGGTAAAAACGTCGAGCAGAATCTCCGCGGCCTTAACGCGACGTCGCGTATCTCGCGGAATCTCCGCGGTCGGAAGAAATGGAGAGCGGGGTGACGTTGGCGGGCAAGGGTCCCGGTACCACGTAGGCAAAGGGATCCCCGCGTAGTCCCTCCGACAAAACGAGAGAAAAAAGTCCAAGGGGGAACAAGGAGAAGAGGAACGAGAAGAAGCGGGGTCCTTCGTGGCGAAGGAAAAGAAGAAAAAGAGGGTAGCGAAGGGTTGGAGGGAGAAAGCCCGAGAATCGGGACATTAGCATAAGCTAAGCCAAGCTAAGCGCGGCCATATAGCACGGAAATAAATAGCCGCTTGTCTCGTATCTACACCGAGACGGTTTAGCATGGGCCAACGTCGTCCCCTTGAAAACCGAACGCGGGTGCGTTCCGCTCGCGTGCTACGTTAGCGCACGCTTTGGCCACCCACTGCAACGATACTCACTTTGAGTCTTGGGTACACATCTTTCATTCTTGGAAGAATAATAGAGGAAATCGATCGTGAAACGAACTGGAGGAGTCTTGCTATCGAGGCGAATGACGCGTGAAAGCATTTGGCATGGAAATTAATTCTGGGCATTTATACGCAATCATTCATTATTTTAATTTAAGTAAAAATACCCTGGTCTTCATGAATTCATCTCTAGAATAGGCAGTTGGCCTAAGCCTGAACCTGATGGCCATTTAAATGTTCAGAAGTTAATGTTTATCATTGTTGTTCTTCTAACAGATTACAATTGAACTTGAAAATTACAATATTTCTACCAAAATTACGATTAGAGAGGCGTAGAGTTTATTTCTACACCTAATATATGTTTCAATATTTATGTTTTCTACGGTATATCTGTTTTACCTGTCACCCCACCCCCGTCACTTTCTCTCTACACATTTCGTCTCCCTCTCGCGATAGATCCTTCTCGATCCGTCCGTATCCGTCGGACCATTTTCGCGTCGCGATCCAAAATCGTTTAACGTATCGTTACGATAACGTTTCTCGAAACGTAAAACGTTGATGGAATATTATTTACTTACGATCGTCTGCGCGCGGTATTTGCAAGCACATTTTTATAACTCGCGGCGTTATATGCGTTCGAAACGTTTTAAAAGACAGCGTTACCGTTAAACGTTCCACGCTCGGTGTTTCTCTCGCTCGTTCGGTCCGTTTAATTCTCTCGTTTCGTATGTTCGCGTTCGACGACAACGAAGGCTCGCGGTAATTATCCGCCGGCCCATCTACTCCCGTTCCTTTGCCAGTCCCTCGAGGAATCACGAGTTACGCCGCCACGACTATCTACGATGCCGGGACTACCGGTCGAGCGCATCGATAGGATCGACCGAGACCATCTCCGTCTAAAATCATCCTGTGCGCCGTTTCCATCGTCGCTAGGGTTACCGTACCCTCCGAAGAATACGCGTACACTTTTCGAGGTGGTGGAACAACTGTTTCTTCCCACTTATGGGAGCCGAACGACTTTTACTTGAAATCTAATGTTATTGTTACGTGTAATATTATTGCTAAAGTAGAGTTAATTTTCAATGTCTCGGAAGGTATCTAAAGGAACTTCGATGGAAGAATGGAAGAGTATAGAAGAATATAGAAACATTTCATTGGGAGCTATTATAAGGGATGTATTTCGATACATCCCCTTCTTCATGATCTTACGTGAGGATTAGACTATCTCCTTCTGCCTATTGTCAACCCTTTTAGGTCACTGGTACTCATTGTTACCGAGAGGCAGGAATTTTGAATTTTTATCTTTCTACGCTCATCCACGAAAAAAAAGTGAAAAGAAATGCCCAGGGAGTTCTCAGCCTATAAAGGGTTAAAGTGTCTAATCTTCGATAGTCTCGAGAAAAAATGTTATCTTTGCCAAAATTTCCCCAGATTTCATCCCAGCAACACCCGAGTTAAAAGTGGTTTCATAGTGGTCTGGTCCCTTTAAATGGCAAGGTGCGCGAATCTAGAACAACATATCGCGTGTCACAGGTGTTGAGATTATTTTGCCCGTCCCTGGCACCCACGTTGGGCACTGTACGAAGGGAAGTAGAAGCGCGGGCATTGTCTCCGCGGCTCGATGACGATCGCCGCAGCATCGACGAGCGCTCGCTGGTCGGCATTGTTACGTCGGCGAATCTCGTCCGCGGCTGGAACGGGGATCGCGTCCTGGATGACAGTCGTAGCGATGGGCGATAACATCTTCGCGTCGATTAGACGAAGCCTCACGAAGGAAGGCACGATCAACGGACGGGCCGAGAACGAGCGGCGCGCGTCAAGAGGCCGTCGCGATCGGAGTTCTTCCGGCAGCCCTGCCACCGCTCGCGGAACCACGCTGTGGGAAGCATTGTCCCTTTCTAAGCTTCTCTAAGCTCGCCGAGGATCGACGAGCACGCGTGACAACACAACGAACCGTCTTCGAGATAGCATCGTCACACGCCCGTTACGGAAAAGACGTTCCCGCTATGATACGACAACCCGCGAGATAATCTCGACGCGACGACTATACCCGTTTCCAACTATCGCCTGATCCCAGAACTTATTTTCGTAACTTTCGGTCGACCGTGGGCACTGTTGTCCTCTCTGTCCGCGTTATGGCGGTCGGCGGGCTTTTAGTTCTCACGTTTCGGAGGATAACGTATGGACAGTCTAACTTAGCCAACCAAATCCTGGAGGTTGGAATAATCTATCCCCCTATCCGGTTATTGAGATAATAAGAAAAATCGTTATGGCGATCGAGGGCCTATCTTAGTTCTTATATTTATAAAGATGGCGTACGCTAAACCTGTTACAGTCTATCTACAGTAAAGAGCTGTAATTTGTTCCAGGCGAACAACGACACAAAGAAATCTGTCTAATATTTATTTGAAAATATCAAACCTACCATTTAATTTAGATAAATTTCATTAATATACATCGAAGGTACGAATATTCATGAAACCTGTATGCTCTTCACTGTGCGTCCAATCTATCTCCCAGTCCGTTTATCTAATTATAAAAATCGTCACCTACCTGTGGTGAAGAGGACGATGGCCTTGAGGCAGCTGTACTCGGCAGAGTCCACGTGCAGAGCCTTCAGTTTTTCCACCTGTTCCTGAAAGATCCTGATGTGGTCCATGAAGGCGACGACGCGATCCGCGGCCATCGGTGACGCGTGAAGACCGGCTGCGGCCAACAGCGGCGCCACGTGAAGGGGCATCGAGCACTGGCTCGCGTTCAGGACGAACAACTCGCTCCAAACTAGCCTGAGCAGGGCGACCTGGTCCGTCACCTGAAGGTCCGGGAAGAACGGGATGTTTCTGGCCCACTCGACCGCTGAGAACAGCAATCTCGCCGCGAGCTCGCAGATGTTGTCGATTCCCATGATGTTGTTCGGTTGCATACACTGGCCGTATCTCGAGGTCGGGTACGGCTCCGCCCTCAGGAGCAGGCTAATGTACGAGGAGAGGTAAGAGTGACCGTTCAGGCTGGCGCACGCGACCGCGTCACCGTTCGTCAGGGCGAACTGTCCAGGTAAACCTGGCAACGACGGCTGCGACGGTGGCACTCGACCTCTTTGCACGGCTGCAACAAACGAGCAGACACCAACTTGATGATTTTTATTCAAGTTTTCTAAGCGAGCTACATTTATATGGTATCAAGGTACGAGATGGTACGATGATTTCTTGTTCAAGAAATAAATTATTTGTTATTCAATGGCCCAAATGGTTAAGAAGGTCGAAAATTTTTAGTGGCTAGAAGTAAAATTTAACCGGTTATACAGCTAACGACTTTATCGTAAGTATCTAAAATTATGTTCACGATTATACTCTTTTTCATGATCAGTTTCATGATATACTCATAATATACTTAAATATTTAAATATTTTCATTTCGTATTCAACTGTCAAAAAGTAGCTGGCATATTTTATTATTAAAAAGCAAACCCTGAAGCCTCTCAATCTCTGTATATACATCATATCTTAGTTTGCTTTCTCGTGTTACATAAATAAGAAAATTTCAAGAACATCTGGATCTTTTAAGTATTTGCTCTAGCATAAATGTATTCTACATAACCACTGACGAAATTTGCTAGACTGTCCCCTTTTCCAAAATATCAACCTATCTAAAATCTATCTAATAAGCGGATTGTCCGTCGTTTTAATCTTCGAGGATCATAACATTCGCGAATCAACGAACGACGCGAGTGGACGGACGACTTTAGACGAGTGGACAGAGCGCGCACGTAGATTTAACGAGTGGATCGTGAAAATTCCAACGAACCTGCTCCACGATCACCCATCGAGCCTATCGACGCGGTCGCGCATCCTCGGTTTCGCGCGTCGACATTTCCTTCCCTCGCTCGGGACGGTTGATGGATACCGAGCCGAACGCAACAAATAACGCGCGCAATTTAACCATCGATCGAGGCGCTGACCTTTTCCGCGGGTTACGTGCTCTTTCGAGCTCGCGCGATTTTTGCGAAACAATTCTTGCAGGTGTAAGGCCAAAAAACCACGATTTTATTTTAACGTTATGTTTATATACAAGTAACGATCAGATATATTTAGGTAACTTATGCTAGTTCGAATCAAATGAAAGATAAAAGGTGTTTCCTCGAAGCATCGTCCATTTGCATCGAGCTCGTGCAATTCTTGCATGCGTGAGGCCAAAAAGAACGAAAACCACACGATCTTATTTTAACATCATGTTTATATACAGGTAACGATCGTATATGTTTAGGTAACTTGTGCTAGTTCCCTTTACAGCTTAAACAAATTTGTCCTATTAATCCTGGGAACTTATAAATAGCAAATGGAGATGTACTTAGCAAAGAAGTACGATACTCTAGCGTTAAATTTGTGTGTGTGTATTTTAGCCACGCGTAAGGACGTATTATTCGCACTGTTTGTATTAAAAACTAGCTTCACTTAAGAACAGGGTGTCCGAGGCGAAAGTATACACATGTTTCGCGATGTTCGCGTGACTGTTCGCTCGTATCTACCGTGTTATGTGTATTACGCAAGACGTAGACAATGGAGTCTTCCCATTGGGCGGTTTGTTATGGTGGAAGTAGAAGACTTGGTAGTGATTACATGTTTGCTTATTCATTACTACGTTGCTATCGTGGATCATGTTTAGTTCCCCTCGAAGGCGTACCAACCCCTGGATTCCTTCTTCGTTAAATTATGAATAAATATTATTGTATCTAAAGGGCCTTCCTGCACAAGTAAGTAAATAGATAGAGTAATTTCTGAACTTATCGTAACCTTTCGCTAATTTCCACCGTTGCGGTACAAATGTCGTTGAAGTAATTAGAAAATTACTCGTTGCGTAACGTGCTCCGGGAAGTTCCAGCTAGCCAACCGAGGATCAGAAGGGGACAACGAGCTCGGTGTCTCGCGTTCTCCGAAGAATCAGCAAATATTGTGCAAAAGCAAACGTCTCGAGACGAGAAGACTAGACGACTCTCGTCGAACCAGCGTGGACAAACGCGAAAAGAAACAACGCGCGCGTTGGTTGTTTAAAAAGAGAAGCAAACGATTCCAGTCGACACGGCGGAAACGAGTAGGAAGTTCTCTTACGAAGCTCAGTTGTCAACTTCCTTATTGTTGTTTTGTAGAAGAATAACAGTAAACAAACTTTTGTGGCTACTAAAGTCCGTATAGGTGTATCGTAATGACCACCAGGTTGAGACTGATGTATACAGATGCATTGTAAGGGAATCAGGTTACATTAACGTTTAAGCTGAAGATTAAAGATTATTGAATTTAACATCATAGTTCCATTATTCGCCCCTTTCGCAAAGTTGTTATTTCTCGCGTTAGTTTTCCTCGGGGAGAAGCGAGACTCATGGCAACTGCTGGCACAGAGCTAAGTACCACAGTAAAACTCGCGAGTGGACACCTAGCATTAGGCTTAATGCGCGAAATCTCTCGAAAACCGTTACGTGTTCGCTATGTTTCTCGCGGGCTCGTCCGCGAACGCCACCGTTATTACCGCGCTTGATTTTTTTCTTTTTTTTTTTCGAGGAAAGATGGCGCGATTACGCGGCGAGCGTCGTAACAGATTGTATCGCGCTCGTCGAGTTTACTGTTAATCTTCGGTAATAACGCCGACGAGCATGCCCGGCCCCGAGCCACGTACGGGGTTAACTGTATTTCGAGTTATATCGCGCGAGCTTTCCGATAATTGTCCTGGCCCGCTCATCGAAAGGAAGGCGATCGTGTAAAGGATCGTGAAAAGGATCGTGAAAAGGATCGTGAAAAGGATCGTCCAGGGAAAGGTTAAAGGAGAGGCGAGGAGATAAAGCAAGCCAGGGGCAGGAAGAGAATCCTCCGCGTACGAGACCGTCTCTCCTCTCCTCTGCCCTACGTCACACTCCTTTCTTTTTCTCTTGGGCCTCGACGAGAAACGGCACCCTGCTGCGCACCTGAATTCCAACCTCCGCCCCGCGGCTAACGAACACCGTCTCCGCTATCTTCCCATCCTCTCCCAACCTCCCTCTTCGTTCGTCTTTGCCGGGCTCTTCGGTTCTCGTGAAAAACCGAGGAGCCCGAGACAACGTTCGCCAGTTCTAACCACGAATCACCGACATTCTTGGTCAAACAATTTCTAATGGAAGTTCTATCGCGATGTTCGCGAAGTTTGCGCTTTGGATCACCGAGTGGAGGTGAGGAGACCAACCATGGATCCTTATTCGTTGATTTTTGTAATTTGAATGGCGTATTTCGGGGCATGGGTGAAAAGTTAGCTTTGAGAAAAGGGGTTCCAAGGAAATGATCGATACAGAATTCACCGACACTAGTTTTGATCGATATCAATATTGGCTATGATATACATTCTCTGTGTTTAATTATAGAGAGCGTTTAACCCCTTGGCTTACGACTTATTGTGGAACCGTGGACGTCATAGTCATGTATAAAGTCTGTACGTTCGTACGGCGTGTCTGACTCGTGCTTTTCATTTCCGACTTGAATTCTTTATCACGTGTTGTTATAGGCTAAAGGGTTAATTTCAAGATTTACGTACTATGTATGAACTATGTAATTGCCCACGCAGAGAATATATATGGCGGTCGAAACTATTGTTTGTGAATTCTGGTCGGTTGAAAGTAGTATTAGTAGATTCTGGTCAGTCAAAACTAGTATCAGGGTGATTCTGGTCGGTTGAAAGTAGTATTAGTAGATTCTGGTCAGTCAAAACTAGTATCAGGGTGATTCTGATCGGACAAAAGTAATGCTCGTCAAAACTGGTGTCGGTTAAAATTAGCGTCGGAGAATTCTACACGGAGAACTGATCTCTGTAAACTCTGTTTCGGTCAAAACTATTCTCAGTGAATTCTGTGCCGGTCATTTCTGCGGTACCCTGAAAAAATCTTGTCCCAGCTAAATGCCTCGCAATCATCTACAACCAGCTCGCGCGTTCAACTGCGATCTATCGATCGGAAGTCGACGCGCGCCTACACATTTGCGGTTGTATGCGCGGTTTTTTTTTCGGCGATATGTGCAAGAACCATTCCGATCGAACGTTGGAAGTTTAGGAATGCTACATGCCTCTGACGTATCGTCGTGGAAAAACAACGTTTGATGCGCAACGATGTAAGATGTAATACGTATAGACGAGGCGAGCATGCTGTGTAGATTCGGTACCGTTAACGGTCGGCCCGAACGCGGATACTCGTTCGCGCTGCTCGCTCGAGCGGAAAAGAATCCGCGACGAATCGAAACGCAGCGTCGCCTCGTTGTCTGGGCTTTCCACGGTCCGCGTCGCGGGTCGTGGCACAGCAGGCTCTGAGAATCGTTGTGGCGTACGTTGGACGCAAGGTGTTTCATCGAAATCGTTCATCGCGGTTAGCGATTAGGAGAAAACATGGTCAGAAAAAGTGTATAGTTTTTTAAAGCTGAATGATATAGATTTTTAAAGCTGAAATTTTAAAAATGAATCTGATGAATCTCACTGGTGAATCTCATAATCGATACTAGACTAGAATGCGAGTGTTCGCGCATTTCCGGTAAATAGAAATAGGTCGAAATATATAGTATATAATTTCGAAACGATGTTACGTGAAATATTATTTCAATTGTTGTTCAATTGTATTGTTTCTTGCGTTAAATTTGAAACAAAACAATAACCGAATAAATTAGTTATTTGAAACAGTTATTATACGAACCGTATCAAAGATAACGCTTAAAAATAAATTTTCCCAGGTCAGCTGAAGATGTTCCACAACCCGAACCATCGACTTTTCCGCCGCGGAAACGCAATTTATGGACGAGACGTAAACTTTTCTCGCATCACGACCGTCGCTCGGGGCAGTCTTTATAGGTCCTCGCAGTAGTTGCATCGCTGCATTAACCGACGCTCGTTTCATCGAGTTTCTCCTCGTTACAAGACGCGAAGGAGTGCCGATGGCAATGGATGCCCACCGCGACAGATGCACGATAGCTCCTAGCTGCTTCGTTCTTAACCGACCTCGTGTTTTGCTAGCCATTCCCTCCGCAGACTTTTCGTGTTACGAAAGATACTCCTGTTTTCGTTCGAGTAGTACAACGACGCTCGGAGAGTTCAACGCCCGGTCGACGA